AAGGTACAATTTGTCTAAAATATTATGTTTGTATATCTAAAAATCTATTGGAAATAATTGAAAAAAGTTAGTTTCCAGCAAATGTTTTAGTTTGCAAATCATACATCTGAAGAGAAAAAAATGTATATTGACCCTTTTTCGAAACATACAATAATTGTAGTTGAAAATATGCTAAAACAAATTAGTAGTTAATGGGTGTTAAAAAAAACAGCATTTTAAGTAGTAGTTTTTTTTTGTAGCTCTAAAATTAATAATTACTGACCAACATTTTTTTTTATCGTATGTCATCCATATCACGTAGTTAGCTTTTTATGTTTCTATAAATATTAAACTTACTGATGTCAGACAAAATGTCAAAAACAGAGATATTTTCGTTTTTAAAGAAAGGTGTTCCAACCAGAATAAATATACATTATACATTATACCATGATTTTTATTTTATTATAATAGCGAATTAATGCAGATTACATATTGTACTAATTACCGCCGTTACCTTTATAAATAAAAATATAACGCACTTTCGATTATTACTATTCAATACATACAATTATACTATAAGTGTTTCTAGGATATATATATTTTTTTTTTTTGACGAATTTTGTTCACTATAATATGCATATTACATTAACGAATGGACTTTTTTTTTATCATGTTATAACTGAAATAAAATTAGTATTAATATTTTACGACTGTGGTTACCGGTTTACTAGCGTCACGTCGATAAAAAAACGTCAATGTCATTTAGTGCATTAATATTCGTTTATAATTAAATACTATGCATTTCAAACTGTAACATGCCTACAGTGGAGCAACTAGTGGGTTTTTAAAAAATGTGCAGCTTTAAGGCTTGCCACTTACAACGAAAAGTTTGATAAGAATTTTGGTCGATACATTTATTATTTTCAATGCACTTAGACAGCATAGGCAGAAAATTAGTAGTATTGTGACCGTTTCCACCATGAGTGTACATAAGTTTTAAGTAGTTTTTTTTTTTTAGAAAAAATACAATCTGTACAATAAGAGCACAATAAGTATATGTGATATAAAATACAAAGTATAAGATACATTTAACAAAGAAGTCACCCATTAGTGACACTTAAATAAGTAGAGTTTAACCTAAAAAATATTGTACAAAACAATAATACTCTACTATAAAACACGAAAAGCACTCATGTGCCAAACAATACTCAACTAGCGAATTGCTACAAGGTTTTCAGACTGTCTGTGAAATTGTTGGATAGATGTCAAACATACACAACATGTAATAATATATCGTTGTTTTTATTTTTTTTTAATTTTGTTTACCTACAAATTTTGTTATTCTTACTTTTTTTTTTAACAGTCAATTATCGAATCGAGCATGTTGTTACATTATAGTTTATACGTTTTATTATTGTAATATTATGTTGGACATCGAGAATTTAGCCGTACCCATTTATAAAATATATAATAATAGGCTTATTGGTATACAAGCGGTAGAGAAAAAAAAACAGCCGAGAATTACATAACGATGACAGTTACCGTTTGGCCAGTGGGTCTCCTTGAAAGCGTTCACAAGTCACAACAACAAGTAAACAACGTCGACGAATTTATTGCATCCTTGTGCTCGGTGTGAATAATAAACTTACTTGTATACTTACTTTAAATTAGACAGTCTTTATTGTTTATCAAGAGTCTGGCCCATAGTAGTAGAGTAATATAATACCTATAGAAGAGCCGTTGCATAAAATTATAATGGATTCGACAAAGGTTGCGCGATTTTCAGTGCAGCCACTTTAGAAAAAAAAACATAAATTGGGTACAATAATTGTGAGCACACTACTCGTGTTATCATTTGATATCACTTATCAACGCAATCCTTAATAGTGTTCTTATTTAAAATTATACTCGTCACGAGTAAATTATTGAAGCAGCTGGTTTGTCAAAACATAATTTTTATAATATGTAGTTTTTTTTATGGCTATGGTCAAAATGAAAATCGCAACCTAGTCTGTCGAAACAATGTGAAAAGCAGGCGATATAGGGAACAGACGGCTCCACTGTCTGGTCTTGGCAGATGTTAAACTACGGCAGCTGTCGTGCAAGGAAAACACCGCTGGTTCCTACTCTTGTTCACAGACCCTCTGGCGCAAAGGTCTTTTCCTTTCAACGACACATACTTATATAAAAAAAAATAATAATAACAATACCCGAACTACCAGTAGAGGTGTCTAACGATTAAAGGGCGAGCAAAAACACCCGGTTATATAATTCGGAGGGATCTTGTAAACCGGCTGCACTTACAGACGTTGCCTCGTGTGAATAAACATGGAAATATTACTCGAGCAACCTAAGTTGAAACGATATTAAAAATTAGTCACTATTATGGAATTACTAAAAAATAATAATAGACGAACGGGTTATTACACAAATAAAATGGTTTATTTCTCAATAAGTTTTACGCTAAACAAGTCTATAATAATAATAATAATAATAATTATAATAAAAATAATTGTAATAATAATGATGATGATAATGATATTAATAATTAATAAAATATTTCGTTATTAAAAAAAAAGAAGAAAAATATCGTTTTACCGTAAAACTAATGGTTGCATTATTTTTAACATTATCATCAATAAGAATATGGTTACTATATACAAGTTATTATTAAATTTTTTTTTTAGTTTTTTTGATTAAAATGTATAAGTTAAATAGAATAAACTTAAAAAAGACATCAGCCTTATAATTGTATTTTATTTAAACGTTTATTTTTATACATTTCCAAATGCAACTTATTATAATATATTATAAATCTACATCCGCGCAATCGGGTAAATATTTATCAATTAACAAAAAAAAAACAGAAGGTGGCGGAAGGATATATTATTATTAACAATATAATAATATAATATGCATTATACAATTATTATGATTAGTGGAAGATGTATACAAGTCAACAGGCACGTAGTGCATAAAAAAACGTACCGGGAAAGTAAAAAAAAATACCAATGTCACACATTGTAGCTGGAAAAAAAATTATAACAAAATCTTATTCGAAAATGAATATAATAATAATAATAATAATAATATACAACTTTAGGTTAATAATAATAACAATAAAAAATAGTCATAATAATAGATTGACATAATATCACAACATTGTATAATTCTAAGGGACTTAATAATAATAAATAAAAAAATCGCTTGGCCAAAAAAAAAGACGGTTCTTTTGAAAATTATTTATTTATTTCATCTTTTTTAAAAACGTTTCAGTTTTTTCTAATACTGGAATCTTTTCTCCTCCCCGCCCCTCCCCTTCCTTTATACACAAGAAGCTTTTTTTTTTGCATTTCACAAAAATACATAACGATTAAAAAGTTGCACGTTCGATAATTAGTATATATAACTATATATATGTATGTATAAATGATATAATATTGTTTTATTATTATAAAACGATAAATAGAACGTACTACGAGAGACAAACCAGAAAAAAAGTTAAGAAATACAAAAAAAAAATGTATAGATTGATGAAAACCGCGTTCTAGGCACTTTCCTAACATCTACATCGATTACACAATATTATTATGTGGTTAATAGACTAGAAGACTACAATGACGGTTTGCGGTTTTTTTTTTTATCACTTAGTTAAAAAAGGTTCTCATTCGGAATGTCTATTACAATCAACAATGCAATGATACAATAAAAAAAAAATGATACCTATTAATTTGTTTCTTTTTAAAAGTTTAATAATTTCACCGACAAATCACTAAATTATTATATTAGAAGTACAAACACACACACACACACACAAAAACGTCGGGTAAAACGAATAAAAAAATAATTAAAGTAATCTTAATTTTTACTTTTTATTCCTCTTATTTTAATTTTTTTATCTCCATCTTCGTTCCACACGAAAAAACTTTTTTTCTAGTTTTTCTTTTTCTCATATTTTGATGTATGCGTTTAATAATATAACAATCGTAGGTAAATAAAAAATAAACATTTTAAGATTTAAAAAAGCGTTATACCTCGTGGAAAATAATTAAATATACCATATATAATATCAACTCAATAATTTTTTTTTTTAACTATATTAATATATATGTGTATAGATACATATATATATATATATATATATTATACTATGTATTGTAAAATTGTTTTTTTTTATTAATTTTATATTTATTATTTTAAAAAGAAAAACATGTAAGCTCAAGTCTCTCGAAAATGCAACCGACAAATGTAATATACGGAGGAAACGAGCGCTCGTACTTTATCCAAACATAAATATTATCATTCTTTAAAGAAATATATGATATATTAAAAAAAAACAAAAAATTTGTGAACGTTTTCGGTTATACCAAAAAAAAAATCAGAATACAACAACAATCGTGGTAAAATACATTATGATCATGTCGAAATTAAATTTGTAATTTATTTTTGTTTAACATTACTCCTTTTTTAAATTTTTTTTATCGAACAACCGTTTCATTTTAGATAAATATATATATATATAATAATTATTATAATGAAAAAGTGATATTTATAAAATAAAATCTAAATATCCCCCCCTTATTTTTTTTTTTTGGCTAATGCAAATGAATAGTAGTCAACAATGGCCGCCAATATTTAAAAACAATAATTACATCAACACAGGCCGGATTTTTTTTTTAAGTACGCGGTTGTTAAATCACGATTTTGTTCAATCTTTAAAAAAAAAACAATGTTACATCATTTTTTTTTTTTTAAGAAAGAAAACATAAATTTAAAACGCGAAACAAATCGTTGGTACAAAACATAAATATAATAATCTAATATCCACCTAGTAACAGAAAAAAAACAAATTATTCCCTTTTTTTTTTTAGACTTCGGACGAAATGGTATTTCGCTCGGATCAGTTAAGACGGCGTCATTCGAAGCTCTCAAAAAACACATAAAAAACGTAAGAGGGCACAAAACGTGCGGTAGTGCGAGAGACCCCAATTTTTTATTGATTTTTATCGCATTATTATTTATTTAAATTTTTTTGTTTTTTTTTTTGTGATATTTTCGTTTTGGAGATCTTGATTATAATAATAATAATAATCATATACATAAATAGAAGAGTACATTACGGTTGTGTTAATTGTTAAACGTATCAGTTTTCTAGAAAAAAAAATATTCAACTAACATTCATACACTTTATGACGGGCAATGCAGAGTGGCCGGCAGTTGGCTGTGGTGTCCGATGGACATGGTCATTTGCGGCTGCGGATGGTAGTAGTAGTACATGCCGTGCCGGGCCATCATTTGCCAGGACAGCTCGGCGATGAGCGCCAGGGTCTGGTGCCTCTCGTGGATCATCAGGCACACCGTGCTCTCCTCGACCACCTGCTTAAGGACGTTGAGGTACTGCAGTTTCATGTACTCCTCCTGGGGCGCGCAAAAATGGTTTTTCATGTAGTTCTCCAGCTTGGCGCGCTGCTGGTGGATGTCCGAGAAGTCGATGAAGAACCTAGAGCACATGTACCGCTCCAGCTTCTTGGTGCCGTCGCCGTCGTAGTCTGGCGCGTAGTTGCGCAACAACAGGTTGCAGTACTTTAGCAGACCACCGCCCCGGATTTCTTCCGGGTTCCTGGTGACGATCAGCTTGTTCTCTAGATGGTACATGGCGTCGCGGAAGTCGCCGTACACCGACTCGCCGACAACGGTCGGGTAGAAGTTCTCGCTGATCGGCACGCCGCTGCTGCACTCGTAGAACAGCAACAGCGAGTCGAGCACGATCTGGAACGAGTCGACGGAGAATTCGAACGGCCTCTTCATTTTGTCGACGAACTTGAGCTCGACGTTGCGTTGCCCGGGCAACGTTCCCAGCGATATCAGCGACCACCGGTCGCCGTCCTTGTTCACTTTGACCATTTTGCTGACGTACGCCTCCTTGATGCTGCACGGCGTCATCCGCTTGCGGCTCACGCCCTCCGGCAGCAAGTCGACCAGCGCCCTCAACACGGCGGACTTGACGCGGTCGAAGTCGCGGTTACCGGACAGGCTAACGTTGAATATCAGGTCTAGGTCGTTGTACGGCTGCGTGTCGGTGGTGAGCACGTGCGAGGCCGCGCCGCCGTTCAGTCTGATACTCTTCACGTGGGTGGACGACGCCGGTTCGTCGGTGCCTGGGGTGGTCGCCGCGGCGGACGCGGGCCCGGCGGCCGGTTCCACGGAAAAGGCCACGTCGTCGTCTTCTGGCGCGGTTTGCACGCGGAGTCGGTCGCGGACCATGGCCACGAGATCGCGTAAACGCACTTCGAGCGTGGGGAAGTTGCCGCGGCCGTGGATGCTGACGGTTTCGTCCATGACGTCGTTGAGCCGGGCAACCTGTTCGTAGCTGAGCACGGCCAACCGGCTGAGATCGGTCTGAGCGCGGCCACCGGGCTTATGCCGGTCGTCGCCGCCGCAAGTCGAAAGCATGGCGGCGGGCCGCATGTGGTTGAGGTCCTTGGACACGTCTAGGTGACCGTTCTGTAAACAGAAAACAAAAACAACGGTTAAGGCACTTGTACTTAAGTAACTTTGTAAAAGCTGTTCCGGGCAAAGGCCGGAAGATTTCAACGGTTATTCGTACACAGTAAGAAGTGCCGTTAGCGTCTTACAGAAATCAGAAAAAAATCCACTCGTGTCGACAGTAGTTATTATATTGCATTTCCTTTATCTATTTCGTTTTTTTTTTTTTTACAAACGTTAACTCACCGTCGTCGTAATAGTGATATATTATAAAAAGGTTAGATAAACTGTTAGTAAAAAAAAAAAACCTTTGTATAAACGACGGTTGTGTATTACCCTTTGATATGTACACACGAAGATGGAAAGTGTTTACGCGAATCTCAAGTGTGGTATTTATCAACTCACTTGTGCAAATACCGACTGCGGTAAACGGCACAACAAACAGCTCGCGGTTTTTTCAATAAGAAGCCGCCACCACGTCGATGACGTTCGTCCAAAAAACGAAATAAAAAATAATTTCGGTGTACTTGGGAACCCAAACTGAAGGTATTTTGTACGAGAAATTTGTATCGTTTACACAACAATACATCAAACATGATTAACGCGAAGAAACGGAAGACAACTGTCGGGTTGTTGTTTTCCAAAAGTCCATTAAAAATAATAAACAAGTTAACAAAATTTATGTCACAACCGACAGGCTTCTTAGTGCATTTCATCCAAGTCCTTCCTTTTAAGAGGACATCATACCCGTAATCAGTACTGCGTGGGCAATTTTTAATTAAAAAAGCTAAAACAGTTATACATATACATATTTTTTCCAAGTATGGTAGTGCCGCCCCCGTAATTTTTATAATTGGTAACGTTTTTTCACAAATTGTTTGTTATTGATATTATAAAAATTGTTGTTGCTGTACCACGTCCGACCACGGTTACCGTATCCGAGTCAAGGACACACAATGTGGTAAAATAACTGGTTTTCATGTTGATGTATGTCTGTGCGCGCACCGGATCTACACAGCTGCTGAAAAATGGATCATAAACGCACAACGTTTGTCAACAACGCATTCACAATTAAAATTAAAATCCAAAACCAAAGTAGATCTGGCATGGTAATGTCGTTAAATACACGGTTAACCCTAAGGCCCTCTGACCTTCTACCCTTGCCCGTTGTAGCAAAAATGTTTATTACATAATTTTGATTTTGTTTAGAAAACATGCATTTAGTTTTTGAGGCGGTTTATAAGTAAGCTCAAAATATATATAAGTACCAGATGTTCTAAATTTTTTTTCAGATATTATACACTACTTTTTTCCTTGTTTTCCTAAATTCCCATTAATTTAATCTTTGTAAAAAGAAACTTGTTTATTAAAAAATTAATAATAATAAAAAAAAAATGATTACTTAAGGGTCAAACAGGCTATCTCGCACACAGCCGGCTGTAGCTCGGTGCACCAACCAATAGTATTGGTTATAGTTGTTTGTTATTTAACGAGTACATGACGTAAGTAGAAAAAAAAGCTGGTAATTACAAATAAAAAACAACACCTGAAGAGGCGATAAAACCGATATATATATATTTACACATAATATTTATTACAATATTATTATTATCGCCGCGACGTCGATAAGTGTGTAGACGAGTCTTAATTAATTAGTTATTACAAATCAAACCAACAAAAATATATATATATAATTAAACTAGACTCAAAAGAGCGCACACGACCTTCGTCGTAACGGTCAACTTATCGGTATAAAAACTGAATTTCCGGTGCCGATTGGATGTCCGAAATAGAGAGAGAAATTATTGTAGACACATATTCTATGCGAGTATAACAAAAATGTAAATACATTTTTTGTATTGTTTATTTCAATAATTTTACCGTCCCGTCTAACCTTTTGAGTCAGACATTTAACTTATTTTTTTACGGTGGTTTCAATAAGATGTCACAATAAAATATAAACAATCGTAAAAATAGGATTAAAAACCTGGTTTCAATACATCTAATATGTCTCAAAGGGTTGAACACGTGAAATGAAACAATATGTTGTAAAAATAACCAGGCTGAAATGGGGTGGAAGACGGGCGGCAGCAGGGTGATTCGAACAGCTGCTAAGCGTGGGCGCGGCGGCGGCGTAACGAACCTTCTGGAATATTCTATGGCGCGCGCCGACCGTTCCAAATTTTCCGAGCGAGTGAAGGGTAGTTTTTTTTTTTTTTTTTTACTTTACAACCTATTTTTTTTTACTCGTTCTAAATATTAATCGTACATAAAAATATATTGATATATGCGTACTTGTATGTTTAGATCCTTTTCCATTTAAGAAGGTTGTTAATATGGCGTACGACAATTATTATTATACTGTTGTTGTTTCGCGTAGACTTCTTTTTTTTGGCTTTTATTTTTGTTTTTCAAGCTTAGTAATTGTGTGGCTTATTTTTTATAATACACACACGACGACGTATAATATATTATTGTTCACTGTAATCGCGCACGTCAGTTTCAAATTTTTAATTTTATAAAAAAAAAAAAACGTTCTTTAAAGGTTTTTTTTTAATTGATCGACGCTTCAAAATACCGTTTTTGTTTAACCAATAAAAAACACCACAATATCGGTCGAAGAACACACCACAAACACACGCACAGTGTGGTGGCCACTTACTTGGAACGAGCGGCGTACCGAAGGAGGACGATCACACACACTCTCACACACACAACCACCGAGGACCGCAAACGAAACGGAACTGCCGCGGCGGCGGTTGCATTGGCGACGACTTGTCGCCGGCGTTAGTCTGTCGGCTGAGCTGTTCCACCCCCCTCCGCTCCACTTCTCTATGTGCTCTCCTCCCCGTACCGACGGACGGTAGCGCGCGCGATATTAACCGTAAAAAATTATTATCGTGCAACCGCATAGGGGGGGACGGGGGAGGGAGGCGATACCTCCAGCAGTGTCGGGACTATCGACGGCGATGCCATTGCGTTTAAAAATAACGTGTGCTAAGGGCAAGGCGATCAAACGCGAGAGGCGACAACAAATAAGACATATACCGTCTTTACCTTATGAGGCGTTTGCAAGCTCGGCGGGTTCTATTATGCGACACTGCGATCATGACAAGACTGTGTACGGTTTAGGTTAACTTTTTTTTTTTAAATACTTCTTTGGTCCGTGTGGGTCTGAAATTATTGTAATAACGATTATGACCCAAATAAAATTATACAAATAGTGTGATTTTTTTATTTTTTTCCGCCAGGTCGAGTTCAGTCCAAATTTAGCATTATCGTCGGTTAAATTAATGTGCCAAAACACATGTGTCAACTATAATATACTAATCTATCTATCTGTATAGACTCTGCTCGCTTATGAAAATAAAAATTGATTAGAAACATTAATTCAATTGAATTTATTTAAAGTGGACACTTTGTATACGAGAGTAAGCTAAAATATACAATAAAACTATACTATGGAAAGCGTAATGTAAGTACGAAAGTAAAAAAAGAACTTTGGCGCATTCTGACGGAGGTCAGGCTGTTAATTTTTGGAAATTACTGTTAATACCACTATTAGTACCTGTATAGACATTGAAAGTGATGAAATCGTTTTTAAAAAAAAATACGATAGCCGTGTGCGAGGAAAACGGTTTAGTTGGACAAACACTGAAAAGGTGAACAATTTGTTTTTTATACTTCTTTTTCAAAAAAAAAAAAGGTTCCGCACTTGTTTCCACACACGGGCGCATAAAATAAGCGCCATTGGCGTTCGCATAATTTTTAATATTATTATTATTATTACGGTCTGTCGGAAATCGTCATGTATTATTATGTACAACTATATTATTATGTTGAACAAAACAGCTGCGCTACAATGAAACAGCATTGCTGAGTGGTAAACATGCGTCAGAGAGAAACGTGCCCACGATTCTTATTTTATGGCAAATTTTTCATATCGGCGACGTCAAAACACCATAGGCGCAACTAGACCTACGTTTTAGGGGGTGGTAAAATTATGTATACCTGACCAAACATTATTCTTATCTCTGAACCATTAGATATAAAATATTCGAAAATAAAAAATTTAAACAGAGTAAGTACGTTAGTAAAATTGTATCATATAAATCTATGATTGTTGTTTGAATTTTTGGGGGTGATAATTTTGAGTCTGAGGGTGATGAAGTCTTCCTATCACCTCCTCTAGTAAAATTATAATCATTAGACTGCAAAAACCGCAAACGGGACCACCGACCGAGTGCCCCCCCCCCCATAAATTGTACTACCGAATTTTGCGGAGTGCGACTTAAGTGCCATAATAAAACATATGTGCACGCTTGTGACGTCGGCCTAACCCCCGCCCGCCGGTTTCGGGTTAATTCATTCGACATGTAAATAACGTTCAACAGAGCTGCGTGGGCGTGGGACGCGAAGGGCGGTTACACCCTAACGACGGGGACGGGTGGTTTTTTTATTATTATTTTCCATATTATTATGTGTGTACAAAATTCTAAATGGACCGGCGACAAAACCGACGAGCGTAGGCGTCGGTGGCGTGACGTCATGCGAACGCGTCGGCCAGCGGCCGCCTACGTCATTGCACCGTGTTGCGTTACCGTTGCCGCCGCCGTCGCGACCCCTAGTTAGGCAACACAACAAACATATTACACCGGACTATCCTACAAAAATGCATTCGCGTTATTCGGTGATTCGTTTTATGAGAGATTGAATATTTTCATATTAATATTAATATATTTTTTTAACATTGCGGTCTACATCAATGAACATGACTATATTAATTATTATTATCACAACTGAAAGTGATGAAATGTTAAGAAATTAAAAAAATACTTTTTCAACATCAAATATAGTAGTAATAATAATGCATAAATTGAAAAAAGAATATTATGCAATTTTCTGAAAAATTACATCATCTAAAACATCATAGTCAGTTTCGATGCTAAATATTTTTGCTCTAAAATTGGCAGACTTTTGAAATAGTTAAAAACGTATGACTATGACACTATGATAAC